AGCATTCCAACCACAGAGACCCATACACTACCCGAGGTCTTCATCAATGTCTACCGCAAGAAGAACCGCATCGAATGCCAGACGCTCGATCTCGTCAAGCTGAACCACAAGATCCGAGACGCGCACAACGAAGTGATCAACATGAGCGACGAGACGATCCAGGATCTGATCGCGAGCATCTGCTCCGAGGTATCGAGTCTGTTCAAGATCAGCGAGGCCATCGCCATTCTCGACATGCTAGCCTCTTTCGCACAGTTAGCCACGAGCCACGAGTACATTCGCCCGGAGATCACCAACGTGCTCGCCATCAAAGCCGGCCGCCACCCGATCCGCGAGAAGATCCACGCGAAGAAATTCATCCCTAACGACGTCTACGCGACGCCGCAGACGCGGTTCAACGTCATCACGGGCTGCAACATGAGCGGCAAGTCGACCTACATCCGGTCGATCGCCCTGATGACCGTGATGGCCCAGATCGGATGCTTCGTGCCGGCGGAGTATGCCTCGTTCCCCGTCATTCACCAGCTGTTCGCGCGGGTCGCCACTGCGGACGACGTCGAGGCCAACGTCTCCACCTTCGCCGCCGAGATGCGCGAGATGGCGTTCATCCTGCGCAACGTCCAGCCCGAGCAGCCGAGCATGGTGATCGTCGACGAGCTCGGCCGCGGCACCAGCACCGCCGACGGCCTGGCCATCGCCATCGCCATCGCCGAGGCGCTGGTCGTGAGCCACGCCCTGGTCTGGTTCGTGACGCACTTCCGCGATCTGGCGGTCATCCTGGGCGAGCGCAGCGGCGTTGCCAGCCTCCATCTGGCCGCCGAGATCAGCCCCGACGCGTCCAAGATGACCATGCGCTACAGGGTCGCCGAGGGACCCGACACCACGCGCTTCTACGGCCTGGCCTTAGCCAAGCTGGTCGACCTCCCGCCGGGTGTCCTCGAGACGGCGCAGGAGGTCGCTGAGAATTTGGACCGCATGGCCAGGCGTCGGCACGCGAAGACCCGCGCATTGGCCGTCACCCGCAGGCGCAATCTGATCCTTTCGCTCAGGGAACAGTTGCTGTTGGCGCGGGATGGGACCCTGGGTAACAAGGCTCTTTGGCGGTGGCTGAAGCGTCTCCAGGATGAGTTTCTCCTGCGCATGGCCGCGATTGACGGGGATGCGGCGGAGGTTAGTGGTGATGATGGCGCTGAAGACGATGCTGAAGACGATACTGACGACAATACTGAAGACGACGCTGAAGACGACGCTGACGATGATGCTACCCATGATACTGAAGAGGACAATACTGATGAAGCTGAAGATCATAAAGGTGAGAGACCCGAAAACTCGATGGATCGGGAAGCGCCTGAGGATAGCCTGAGCTGGTCGGAATAATGCGTTCGCGTTGACCCTGCCGGCAGAAATATAGCACAACATCCGTAGGTTTAGCATTGTAGACCTACCGTACCTGCTGCCCAGTCTATTATAGGTTGAAGTATGTCCAGGGTGAAGAGGAATAGCAACATATATGTACAGTACCCGGTAGCACCTCCTGGTAGTATCCAGGCATTGAGTCACTCAGGGCGGATTCAAAGAATCTCTACATCTGTCCGGTGTCTGGTGGTATTAATTCGATCTTTCTAGTCGCCTGCCTAACAAGGCCCCAGCTCATCGTTCTCTCGCAACCACAAGGCCACTATAGACAGACCTTCGCAAAGAGAAAAACAGTCTCTTTGGCCTCCAGTATTGATCGTCCTCCTATCTCAAGCAGAAGATTATAGCTACTTGTGTTACGGGAAAGCAAAATATACAATATGAAAACTCTACTTTTTTTTTGTATCCTTAAACAAGTCCCCGAGCCAACTCTGAGTGAAACAACACGCTTAATAACAGGCTCAAACATGACAAAAGACTTCTTCAGAAGATGGAGGTACAGAGCTCGTGGGTGTGTGGGTGTAAATCGTCTATGTAGATAGATACATACTGAGTGTATCAGGTTTGCGGAGAAAGACGGAAATTCCCCCAAATTATCCGAAATGGAACAAGGTCTGTTTTCCTTTCTTGCCTTTGCCCTTCTTGCCTCCGACAGCAGGGAAGTCCTCGTCCTCCGCGGTGGAGTTGGCGCCGGAGTCGTTACGGGACGAGGAGCTCCAGGCGTTCACCTGCGGTGCACGGTTGTCCCAGCGGACGGTGCCGCGGGTGAGACCTGCCATGAGGACGTTGGGTTTGGGCGCGGCGGGGAGGGCTGGGAAAGCGTCGGCGCTCCTGGTTTGGGCCGGCCGGGAGGTGGCGGGAGCGGCGGAGCGAGTGGAGTAGGTGCGGGGTGTGATGGAGGGCGAGGGGGCGGCGGAAGTGGGTGCTGCTGCTGAACTTGCCCACGGGGTAGATGAAGCTGGCGTGGATCGCGGGGCAGAGCGAGCCGTCGCAGAGGAAAGGGGAGGGAAAGCACTGGCCGAAGAGGACCCGGAGGGCATGGCACCACTTCTGCCGACAGCGGATCGGGAGGACTGCGCAGTGGAGGATTTGAGACGCAGGACACGCTTTCCTCCCACGCCGCTGCCATTGACGGTTCCTGGCGACATGCCGGGGATAGTCCCGCCAGGGCCGGGGAGGGCAGGATAGTCTTCGTTGATCGCACGCCAGTCGTTCCAGGATTTCAGCAATGCATTGCGCTTGTTGTCGTCTTCGTAGATCTCGGCGAGCTCTTTGATCAGTTTACCGAGCTCGGTGCTGGAAGTGTCAAAGAGGGAGAAGAAAGCGTCGATTAGCTCGGTGGCCGAGATGGAGGAAGTGCGATAGCTGGAAACTCTGGTGCGGAATTCGTTGAGTTTGTTCCTATCATTGCCGAGCAGATTCGAGGCGCGTTCTACGACGGCAGCATGGCGCAGGCGGCGTGCTTGTTCCTGAGGGGAGACGGGGCCCGCATCTGCGTTCAGATTGAGGTCGCTCATTTCAGCAACGGGTGTGGATGCGGCCGGAGGCGTCTGCACAGGCGTGGCAGCCGCGGATCGAGCGGGAGCGCGCACAGGTTGAGTGTCGCTGCGGGTGAGCTGGCCGCCGAAACTCCGGGTGGAAACAGACTGTGCACTTTGAATGGCCATCTGTCGTTGATAGGCAATCTCGTCTCGTCTCAGGGGCTGTGCGCTCGAGACGGGCAGAGGCTCTGAGTTGGGATCCCGTCCACGACCTGCACCACGGCGTTGTCGTTGAGGCTGGTACGGAGCTCTGTAGTCAAATGTAGAAAGGTCGACCGTACGTGCGTCGCGTCTTGCATCCTTCGAGAGCCCGTTGGGGTGGTTTTCCAGCTGGTGCGCTTTGAGATCCATCTGAGATTCGAAGACCACGAATTTCTTCTCTAAGCACTCCTGATCCAAGCAGAGGAAATGATCTTTTTGGAAATGGTCCTCTAGCGCGTTGTAGTCAATGTAGTACTGTTGTTGGCGGTTACTTGATTGTCGATCGCAGATGTGGCACCGCTCATGACGGTCACGACAGTGAGCGTAAAGTTCGTCATCGCCGTAGAAACGCTGCCGACAGAAACCACACTCTGGATGTCCTTTGAATCCACTTTGGTCAATCGCACCAGGAACATCGTCCCCATGTCTCTCGTGTCGCCGCAATTCCTGGTTAGTGAAAAGCTCATGCTCGTGGGTAAAAACCTTCTTGTTCCGTGTGCAAAGATCACTAGAGGTAGAGAATATCTGTAAATAAATGCACAAATGCTCACTCAAGAGCGAAGATACTCACCACATCACCCTGCCATGTTTGGTCTTAACATGGCGATGTAGGTCAGGCCATCCCAAACAAGCGACATCACAGCTCCTTTCGGGACAGTTGTATCGCAATAATAAAACAGTGTCCTCGAAGATCTCACCACTCTCATACTTGATTCCAAGGTTGTCATCCTTTTGGGAGAAATCGGCTTCTGTGAAGTCCTCAAAGCGCTTAGCATGGTCATCTGTGAAGATCACAAAGCTCGATTCCGTCTGTCGCAACACACAATTATTAGCACCTAGCCAATCAACGGAATGGGGGGGACAAAGCAGAAGCACATACCCGACAGTGTGCACAAGCTTTGTTCTTATACAATGCTCTCAACCGCAACGCGCAAATATGACAGGTCCGGTGGTTGCAAGGTGAGACGGAGGTATGCTCAACCTTCGAAGCACAGATGAAGCAGACCTCCCCATCGTCCGCGTCATCGGAATCCTCTGCGACAGCCTGCTTTCCTTTATTCTCAGTTGTGGTTGTGGGTTTGGCATCAGTCGTGTTCGCGGCGGACTTCTGTTTGTCGCGACCTCCCCCGCCGCCGCCGCCGCGGCGGGGTCCATGACCTCTGGATCTTGACCCTTTTCCTGGACCGTCGGTTATTTGTTGCGAGGCTTCCGCCTGTCCAGGTTGGCGAGCAGCTCCAAATCCTCCCCCTCGTCCGCGCCGACGGCCGCCTCGGTTTGAGCCTTGCGGTCCGGAGGGGGCCTGAGCAGGTTGAGTCTCAGACATCGGGAGGTATGGGAGAAGTAGTGAATGAGATTGGCGGAACCAGTTGAAGAGATCGAAGTTTAGCAGGAGATCTGGGTGACAGAAAGAGCTCTGGCTCCCTGGAGCCTTTGCGACGAAGCGTTGATTGTGACGGAGGAGTAAAGAGAGTAGTGTAGTTATGTTGGGGTCGCTGCTAATGACCAGCTTTCCAGTGCAAGCGGCGGCGGGCAAAAAAGTCGGGTTTGCGGCATGCTTAGTGAGCAAATAAGCATCATCGATGACATCCCCCTCCTTTCCCCCTTTCCCTCCCTTAATTCACTGAGACTGACGATAGTTACAAATCGGCTCAGTCCCTGGTATGACTCATTACTAGTCATGATAACTCATCCACAACATTCAAACAAAAACCGAGTCGCGGTTGTGTCTCATATCCCCTCCAAAATGCCCCATGGCCTACTAGTCTTCAATGCGGAGGGAGAGGCAACCCAATTGCTTATGCACACTCAGATGGATTTCTGGCATTTTTGACTAATGCCTACGCTGGAAGGCGACAGGCTATATGAGCCCACCATCAGAATCATATATGATCTCTAAATAGAATTATCCATCGCGCCTATTTCAAAGGCAGCACCAACTCCCGCTGGAGAGAAACTAGTCAAATCAACAAAAGGAAACAGGAGGCAAGCATCTCGCCAATGACAATATCAGTAAGTAATATCAGGAGAAGGGAAAAGAAAAGAGCCAAGGATGAGACACTATGAGAGGGCAATGAGAGAATAAATAAGAAACAAGCAATGTAGCGCCGGGTCTCCTTATGCGGTGCAATGAGTGGAAATAAGATGGTCGTAAGTGCAGCAACATATTCGCCGCAGGCTGCCCTGTCCTGAAGGCTACCGGTCACCGTAGTTCTCGATCAACGGAAACAGGTCATTCGTCAGGGCTATATAAGTTCTGACTCAGAATTTTGGTCATGGTGAACATATGTATACGGTCTTGCTTGAAGACTGCGCGCATTGCGTCGTCGCAGCAGATCTGTCGCCTATCACTAGGGTCTTGAAGATTATGCTCGTGAATGTACTGCCAGAGTCGCTTGACGGTCTGCGGACGAGAAAGCTGTGGTATAGTCAGCAACAAAGCCAGAGAATGAGAAAAACATAACAGACAAGGGGGAAACAGACAGTAACCTCGCCACCCAACAGAGCAGAGAGCGCTGGTGAAAGAGTGAGTGGTTTCTGAGGAAGTGTTAGTAAACGTGTTAGACTTAAAAGAAGAATCTGAAGCTCACATGAAAACCGCCGGACCGGTTGACTTTCTTTCCCGATTCTGAGCCCGACTCAAGGTCAGAGTCATCTTCCGCCTTGACCTTCTTAGACGTCTTCGCCTTGGTCTTCTTCTTCACGGGAGGAGCTCGGCGCGCATTGCCCCCACGGGTTTGACGAGCGCGCATATTCTCCTCGGCCTGTAGCTTTGCAGCGTACAGAGCGTCCGCATCAATATCGTTGTCCGGCTTCTTCTTCTTTGCTGGGGGCGTCTTGCTCGAAAGGTCCGAGTTATCCTCACTATCCGCTTGGCGTTTGTGAGAAATCGAGGACTGTGCAGGAGACGATGGGTCCGCAGGGGGCGTTTCGGAGCCATGGCTGGGGCCATGGCCATTGGTGGTTGTGACAGCAGTCACAGCCGGCTCGGGTGCAGCTACAATGCCCCCTCTTGCCGCAAAGATGTCGAAACGTTCCATGATAAGCTGCTTGACGGCAGCCTGGATACGAAAACGAGGTTAGCAATATGTTACGCCGACGCTGGAAGTATAAAAAGCAGGGTGTCGCGAGGAGAGTCCAAGTCCGGGGAGCTGACCTTTTGCGGGGTAAGGTCATATCCGATCTCTTCCTGAAGGCCTTTGCGAATGCGCTTCTCGGAGATGGTATTCAGGTCGCTTTTTGCTAAGATCGAATCGATGATCGGAGTAAACTGCACACGAGCCTCTGGTGAGACTGGCGCAAAAATGGGGTGATGTCAGTTGAGAGCGATCTCGGCACTGCTGCATGGCCCGGGAACATCAGACTCCGAACTTACGCGACATTTTGTTCCAGTGGCTTCGCTATCCGCGTTAATTCCAAAACTAATGTGAACAGAGACTCAGAAAGATGTCAATTGCTAGCCAGAGGCTGGGTGTAGGCTAATAGGGTAGCAAATGGCAGGGTCTAGGGCGCGGATGGTGGTGCTCTGGGAGGAGGGAGCGTCTAGATCTGGGCGTAGCGCTGGCGCTTAGGACCGGCGGGGCATAAGAGGGAGCACGATAGAGAAATCCCCGGAGGATGCGATGCAAGACGAGGGATTGTGTAATGAACAACGAGGAAAGAGATAATGACTGGAAGATAGCCGGTCCAGGACTACCAACAGCTCTCACCCACACGAGCAAGACGAGAAGAGGCCGGGGGGGAGTGGGGGGAAGAAGGGACGATACGTGGGATCGCGATTGTTATGATGTCCAGCCAAGCCGATGTACAGGTCGGATCGGTTAGAGTGACAATCATCATCAGCCGGTCGAGAAGCTGGGGGACACGGCTTAGTTAATCTAGATCACGTGCACTGCACTAGTAGTAACGTTAGTCCCCGACTTCCCACTCCCCCACTCCTCCTGTCCCGCCCAGCCACACCTGATCAGGTGATCTGTAGTCACCTGATCTGATTTACAGCTGACTCAGCTGCTTCGCACACAGAAGCGCTTGCGGTTTGGGATTTGCTCTTTTTGCCCTAAAATCAGCCAAAACGGGGTCGACCAGCAGAAAATCCAGAACAGGATCTTTCCTCCTCCGTATCAACGCTCTCCACCCCGTTCCCCTCCCCCCTCTTTATCGCCGTCCGCTGTGAGTGCAAATATGGCGCCCAGTTTCGACACCCTCTCCGAGCAGGACCTCCACGAAGAGGAGGAGGAGGAGATTGACTTCTCCGGTGAGTGCGACCCCGACTCGCGTTCTTTGTCCTGTCCTGTCCTGTCCTGTCCTATCCTATCCGTTACCCGTGCCCCTCGTCACTGACCGCGATCGGTTCTTGGTCTTGCAGACCTTAAGGAGCAGTTTGAAGTGAAACTTGATGAGGGTTTGGATACATTCGTTGTCATCGATGGGCTTCCGATCGTGCCCGAGGAGAGCAGGCAGAAGCTCATCAAGTTCTTGTTGAGGAAGCTCACCACCGCCGGCAACACCTCCGAAGATGCTGTCTTCATGCCCATCAACGACAAGAATATGTCCGAAGGGTATGTACTGGGAACTCGGGCTGGAACTGCAGCAGGGAAAAATTAACGTTGGGTCGCAGTTTCGCCTTCGTCGAATATGAGACTCCCGAACAAGCCGTCGCTGCCGTGAAGGCCCTGCACGGTGTCCCCCTCGACAAGAAGCACACTCTCGCTGTCAACAAACTGATGGATATTGACCGCTACGGTCGTGAAGGACGTGTCGACGAGGAATACAAGCCCCCCACTATCGAACCCTTTAAGGAGAAGGAGCACCTCCGCTCGTGGCTCGCCGACCCCAACGCTCGTGACCAGTTCGCCCTCTACCGCGGCGACAAGGTCGGCGTCTTCTGGAACAACAAGAACCACCCGCCCGAGAATGTTGTCGATCGTGCCCACTGGACGCAGCTGTTCGTCCAGTGGTCCCCCAAGGGTACCTACCTCGCCTCTGTCCACCCTCAGGGTATTCAACTCTGGGGTGGCCCGGCTTTCTCGAAGCAAAAGCAGTTCCCTCACCCCTTTGTGCAGTTGGTCGAGTTCTCGCCCGGCGAGAACTATCTCACCACCTGGTCCGCGCGCCCCATTCAGGTTGAGGAGGGTCACCCTGTTTTGACCTACGAGGAAGAAGGAAAGAACATCATCATCTGGGATATCGTTACCGGAAAGCCCCTGCGTTCGTTCGTTTCCAACGATCTCGCTGCTGGCCCTGGTGCCGAGGGTGATGCCCAGCCCAAGAAGAAGGTTCAGTGGCCCGCTTTCAAGTGGTCTGCTGATGAGAAGTACGTTGCGAGAATGCAGCAATCCCAATCGATCTCTATCTACGAACTTCCCCGGATGAACTTGCTGGGCAAGACCTCCGTCAAGATCGATGGTGTTATGGACTTCGAATGGTCCCCCGCCACCGTTAACCGCGAGGGCGTGAAGCAATACGAACAGCTGCTCTGCTTCTGGACTCCCGAAATCGGCAGCAACCCCGCTCGTGTCGCCCTTATGAGCGTTCCTTCGAAAGAAATCGTTCGTACCCGTAACCTTTTCAACGTCTCCGATGTCAAGCTGCACTGGCAATCACAAGGTACCTACGTCTGTGTGAAGGTGGATCGTCACTCCAAGTCTAAGAAGTCCATGGCCACCAACCTGGAGATTTTCCGCATTCGCGAGAAGGGTGTTCCGGTCGAGGTTGTTGACAGTCTCAAGGATACCGTGATCAACTTCGCCTGGGAGCCGAATGGAGGACGTTTCGTTCTCATCACGAACGGTGAGGCTGCCGGCGGTGCTGGCGCTCCCCCTAAGACGGCTGTTTCCTTCTTCGCTCCCGAGAAGAAGGGTGTTTCGGCCGGTAACTTCAAGCTTGTGCGCACCATTGAGAAGAAGACGAGCAACGCCATCTACTGGTCGCCCAAGGGTCGCTTCGTTGTTGTTGCCACGGTTCACTCTCAATCGAGCTTCGACATTGACTTCTGGGATATGGATTTCGAGGGTGAGAAGCCCGAGGGTGAGAAGGATTTGGCTGCCAACCTTCAGCTGATGAAGACGGTCGAGCACTACGGTGTCACGGACATCGACTGGGATCCCACCGGTCGTTACGTTGTCACCAGTGCTAGTGTGTGGACTCACTCGGTATGTTCATCTTCTAATCTGAACCCCTTCGCACTCGCTGAGACACCGTTGCTAATTTGTACCTGTAGATGGAAAACGGCTGGAACATCCACACTTTCGCCGGTCAGACCCTTTCCGAGAACCCAACCGAAAAGTTCAAGCAGTTCGTCTGGCGCCCTCGCCCCCCCACTCTTCTCAGCAAGGAGGAGCAGAAGCAGGTGCGCAAGAACCTGCGCGAATACTCCAAGGAGTTCGACGAGGAGGACAAGTACGCTGTCGACATTGCCAACACCGCGGTGGTGGAGACGCGCAAGCGCGTTCTCAACGAGTGGGTTGCCTGGATGCGTCGGGAGAAGGAGCTCTTGGCCGAAGAGCGCGAGGCCTACGGCCTTCCCGAGGAGGCCGATACTCCCAAGCTGGCCAAGGATGCCTCCGCGGTCTCCGACGAACAGGGCGACACCGTTGTCGAGGAGATTGTCGAGGAGATTATCGAGGAGAGCGAGGAGATCATTGGTTGATTGGGGTTCCTTTTTTTCCGTATTTAATGTGTTCCATTTCCATCCCGTTTCCCATTTTTTCTCTTTCTTCCATTCCTGCATCTTGTCTGTCGATATCCTCCTCCATTTTTTCCTCCCTCTACCTCTCCCTCTCTCTTCGAAGTTTCCACACTTTCCTCCTGTGAGCTTCCTCCCATGATACGCCCTTTGGCTCGGTTCCAGATCGCAAAAGCAGTGGGGAGCAGACTTTTTGCTGGAACATCGAAACCAAAAGAAAAAAAAGCGAATAGATCTGTATTGCATATTTCACTTACCCTCAAGCGTGTGGGGGAGATTAAATGATATGCGTGACGTTCGGTAGTATGAGAGATGACAGACAATGATGAAACCCAAAGCAGTTCTTGCAACTATGATTAAGTGATTAGTGCTTCCTTTCGGACCTGCAACAAAAATATAGACTAAACAACCAGATAATCCACCACCCACTGACCCAGACCCCCAGACCCCAGAACAACAAGCCCATAAACAACCCACCGCCAACCCTTTCCCCTTAAGACAGCAGCAACAGCAGCAGCAGCTCCCGACGTACTCGACGCAACGGAAGTCTTACTCCCCCCATTATTGCCGGCGGTCTGCCACGGCCCCGAATACGTACTCGACGCCTGCACATTGATGCGAAAGAACGCCTTATCGCCCAGCTTCTCATTGCCCCCGATCACATTCCCCGGGGGCGTATACTCACACACCACGTACCAGCCCTGCGGCCGCTGGATGCCATTGATGCCTTCCCCGTTGTTGCTACCATTCTTGTTGGCAGTATCCCCATTCTTCGTCCCCTGCGAATCCTTCCCATCATTCACATTCACCCCACAGTCCACCGCCGCGCAGCCCACCTCGGTCGTCGCCCGCCACACCAGCTGCGTGAAGTGGCCCGTCTCCTCGGTGAACCCCGTCGGCTCCCGGAAGTTGTAGCGCAGGCCCTCGTCGCCCCAGGCGGCGACGGCGGCCGAGGCGTTCGGGAACCCAAAGGCTAGGTTCTCGCCGTAGGGGCTGTGCTTTTTTTATACCACTTTCTTTAGTAATAAAGCTTTGTGTAACCGGGTTTAGATGCTGTGGGGTGGGGGGGGGGGAAAGGCGGGCAGAGGTGTGTGTGTCCCTACCGAATGCGCCCATTTACACCCTTCGGCCCATTTCTTCGCGTACTCGGCCAGGCTCTTATTCCAGATGAGGTTGCTGGCATTGTGGGCTTGGCGGTAGGTGTTGGTGACGCTGAGGATGGTGTTGGCGAAGAGGTCGAACGAGGTGTAGGAGGGTGGGTGGGGGACGGTGGGCGTCGCGACGGTGGTGGCGGTCACTGTGACGACGATGATGGTCGTGGCTTGCTGGGTGAGGGCGGGGTCGGCGGCGGTTAGGGCCGTGAGGAGGAGGAGGATGGTGATGGTGATGTAGAGCCAATGGAGAGTGGTGGTGGTGGTTATGGCTGATCTTGTTGTGGATGGGAGTAGGTTGTTGGTGGTCATCTTGGTGGTCAGTTGTCATTCAGGTCACTGTCATGGTGGTTTATTTAGGTCGTTACGATGAGATAGAAAAAGGGCAGCATTTTGAGAGAGAGAGAGAGAGAGAGAGAGAGAGGGTCAAAGTATGCAGGTCGAGATGTCAATCCACCAATTGTTCGCTTGCTCAATGTTTTCAGGTTTCAAAAACAGGGTTTGTGACGGCTTGCCAGGCGACAGGCCCAGACCAAAGAGACATCCTGAAACGGAGAGACTCTCTCAGTATTCCGATACATTATGAGTGCATGATGCAACGGCGCCTTGAAGAAGCAGGGTCTATGACTAAGGGTAGATCTAGAATAGAGGATCGACCCTTCGGACCGTCCCGGATGCTACCTGACGATCCAAATTAACTACTCATAGGTTCTCAATGGGGGTATTCATGGCTCTCTATATACATGGTATATTCGTGGTTCACATAACACTACATCCAATGCCATACATGGCTCGTTCCACGTCCCGCTTGACCAGCAACCAGTCTGCTCGTCGCTCGGCGAATTCGTACACTTCCTCCACCCGCCAGATCCCATAGAATCGATCCGCATCAGCGATGATGGTGGCTAACTCCTTGGCATCGGACGAGTCGATCAGGTAGATTTGAGACAACTCCCGTAGCGCCTTGAAATATATCAGGAGATCCTGGTTCTTAAACCCTTGGATGAATTTGAAATAGTGGGTCATGTCGCTTGACAGGTTGTCAGCTGTGTTCAATGGTGTAATTTGTAGTATTTGTAGTTTGAAACAGGGGAAAGCGCTTACCTGATAAGCTTCAAGGATCCCTCGATGCTGATCCGCTGTCGCTTGAGGTGCTTGCACAAGGCGGCAAAAAGCCGCAGTCCGACCTCCTGGTTGAAGACATCCAGCATGCTCTTGTCCGTACTGCCCACAAGCATCTGGGTATGCGAAGATACCACATCTACTACGGCAGCCGCCGCCTCGGTGATGTTCACATCCATCGTCTTTCGATACGGGTCCTGGGAAACACTGGGGTTGAAGTCTGTCGCTAATTGTCGTGTCGCGAGGATATAATCCACTTCCTCCATAAGCACGTCAATACCTTTGTTCAGTCCAGCAGCCACCCGCTCATCGAGGTTCTGCTCGAACTTCTTCTTTTCCTTGACGGCCGGATCAAGGAAGTCGTTCCGATCGGTTAACTTAGCGCCAACAAGCTCCTGCTCGTAGAAGACATCGATCATCTGCAAGATCAGATCGCCAACATTGACCAACTCCAGAAAAGTCACCAACGGCTCGACTCCGGACTGGTCCCGTTCTCCCTGTTCGCGAGGCCGATAATTGGATAGATGGCCAACAGCCTTGTCAAAGCCGCCGATCAGATGGCGGTGCCCAAGAATGCGCACTAGAGCAACGAAAATAGCCTCGCACTGCTGCTTAGCTGCGCTTCCGTATTCACCCCCTACGCTGACAAATTGCGCAGCTCGTTCTAGGCTGGATTTCGCGGCGTGCACAAGGCTTAGAGCGATTTCAATGCTGAAGAGAGATCGAATTCCTTCTAGCTTGGATTTCATCACTGCAGCCTTTGCTGCAAGTTCTGTAGTCGGTGCTTCCATCACTGGAGGTGTGGCAGGTGAACCGATCGTGGAAAATCGGTTTGGGCTCTTCAAAGATGACGCATCATCAGGAGAGGGGTCTGGAGTCGACTTGGTTTCCGTTGTCTTGCTCCCTGAAAAGCTGGGGAGGATGTTGACGGGCGCCATGATCACTTTTTTGAACGAGGTCAGAAAGTCCCGTTTGTCAGCCTGTCGGTTGATGTTGGACATCAGAAACAGCTCAGTTGATGCAGCCTGCTCTGAGAGTTGTCGATCCCATTCCCCGACTGCTGCTTCAGACTTTTTCCGGAAATGGTCTAATTCTTCTGCAAAATACAGATCCAGGTGAGGTTCATATGTTTTCGCAATAACGTGCTGCAAGAACTCGTCAAATGTATCGGGCGAGTTTTGAATGGGCAGCAGTGTATCCGATAGATTGAGACATTGTGCGAAGGTTCCCGAAACCGCTGTGAGGTAAGACTCAATATTCGTGCGATGTAATTCGTCGAAGACAGCTGTCAAGTATGGGAACAGTACGTCTTGTCCGACTTTTTCGATAAATGGCGTGCTGACCTGTAATTGCGGGGGGAAAGCACGGTTTATAATTGAGACCTCCTCGTTGTAGGCGACACTCATCCGGGTGAAGAAAGCCTGGGTATGTTCCAGCTTGACACTTCCAGCGAAAGTGTCGATACAGTCGGTCACACTTCCAAAATCCGATTTGCGCGTAACCAGGTGGTTGTGGTGAATGAAGAGCTCGATTGCTGCGCCACCACCGTTCAACGTATATAGCACACGGGCGTATTCTCGCATTCTGTTTTCGATGTCTTCAGTCTCATAGCCGTGTCGAAACTCTTTGACCGCGTTTGTTTCAAAGGCCGACACAGCTGACTGCAGCTGTTGGGTTCGTTCATGCCAACCGTCGGTACAATCACAGTTGGCGAACGCCTGCAACTGAGAAAGTATCTGTGCCTGGTGTTGCGGATTGCTGTAGTCTCGAAACAGCAGACTGTCGGCCGAAGCTCCTAATGTGACAATATCATTATAGTATGGTGCCAACGCCGCGTGTATCTTTCCATACTCTTGACGAGCTTCTCCGCGCACTGATTTGACCTGTCTCAACACACCCAAGACCGGATCTTCCTCTGAATCATCCTTGACATTGGCAACAGCAGGGGCAGACAGTTGTATTTGGTCGAAGCCATCCGCGAGCGAACTCAAGGCGTGGTCAGATTTGCGCTGAGTCGCATCGATTGCTTCCTGGAGATCCACCGCCTCTTTGTGCTCGATGGTTTTCATGTCGGCTATAGTTCCAAAGGTGTCTTCAACATGTTTGCGAGCCTCCAATTCGTCCCAGCACCCGATCTGTTTCAGCTTCTGCACCCATCTGGTATCATCGTACGCCATTTCGCGCAAGAGTTTCGACGACCGAGCGACTCGGATGAGGTCGACGGGGGAGAGATAATCAAGGATGGACGACATGATCTCTGCATTGCGATCGGTCAACATTAGAATCCCAAGCAAACATATTCGGGATCTCTGGCTAAAGCCGCAGCTTATGGGCCATACCTGCTGGAAGGGCCGCCCTGGAGATCTCCTCCATGGAGGCCATTCTGAGTGAAGCCAAAACATCTCTGCGGGGCTTCTGTTTGTTTCCTGGCCCATTCCTGGCGTTCTGCATCTTGATCAACTGCGATTTGGCATCGGGATATGAATTGTGGTTCAGTGAGCACCGGCGCAGCTGAAGTCCGGCCGGGCAAGTCGGTCAGGGTCCCAGTGGGCGGTGCCCACCAAGAAGCTACTAGTAGTAAGTAGTTCGCTCCTCCGCGGGGCGGCCCCAAATTCAGGTCACGATAAGGTTGAGCTCAAATCCACGGTAGCCCGGGTATCATAATGTTGATAAGGCACCTGTACGGCTGCGCATGTGAAAAGAAGATCTGCTTTGTATTAAATAAAGAGGTTTGTGAGCACCTATTGGCACTCTCAACGGTCCGTGTCAACCGCCAACCCCAGAAAACGGGCTATGGGAATGGATCAGCCGGATGTTTTTCCCTTCCGGCCCAAGCCGCCGGTTCGATCATGTTTTATCAAACCAACAGCATCAACATGAATTGACGTCGTCACTTGTAGATAGTGACCTCACCTAATGCAAGCGAGCGCAGATCAATTAGCGGGTATCTGTTCTAGATCTGGAAAATGACTCAAATACAGTCAAGTACTTCCCATCAATTATGATCCAGTCGTGATTCCCGAAACATCGAGGATGTATATACTATAAATTTAGTGTAGGTGTTCTACTTAGGAACGGTCAGCTTCCTTGCTGGTACCCCAACCTTTGGTTCTTGAGACCCATGCTCTGAAACATCAAGGATGAAACGGTAGTGATTGGAAAGTAATTGGATGTTGGAATTGTAGAGAGAAGACATTGAGCTACGGACAGTTACGGGCCTAGAAGGTGCCCCAAGCTACCTAGTACCTAGTATGCCGAGGACCTGCTCTTTTCGTCGACTCACTTGAACCACGACATCTCAACTCTACTGGACTTCATATCCGCCTATCAATAAATGGTGCTACATGTGTCACCAGTCCTACAGGATCTTGAGCCGAAAATGGGCTCGACCAGCTGCATCTCACGTACGATGGAAGTGCAACAGCCAGTTCTTCACATTGAAGCGCGTGTCAAGACCAACAATGACGGCATCATCATCCGCACGGACTTAGTAGGCAACCAAAAGACTCGACAGTTCCCCCCCCTGACCCCCCTGAATAGATCCGAGACGAACTCACCAAGTGGTTGACTGACAAATTCGTGGTTCTCTCCCTCGGACAAGAGATCGTCTCCTTCGGCAAGTCAACCGCAGCCAACGCATCCAGACAAGACTGTTAATCGTTGACCAGATGGGCTGAGTAACTCCCACACCCAGGCTCTGGATTCAGTGCTCGTTTGCGAGTGCACCGGTGGTACTATGGAGTCCGGAGCATATCCCCTAGACCAGGTGAGGTTGGATGTTCAAGCATATCAGCTCCATACGCAACTGGAGTCCGAGGACCCTCACCTCGCCCAGACACTCAATGGTCACACCGAGAATAGTATGAACTCAACGAGGGCGAAGATCATGGCACTTCCCAATTCAGATTTGAATGGACTCTGGGAATCGTACGGAAGCTCAACCCCAACTCCAGCTCCATGCTCGCGCGCGGGTCTAATCTATGCCTGATAGCTTGCATTTCGATGAGCCTATACAGTCAACGCTCCTTACTGCTATAAGCAGAATGCGTAAGTGATCTACGACACAGGCATATGTCCCGCGGTTTCCTAATTACGGACATTTAGTCTCATTCTCTGCCTGCAAGCTCGACAGATGGACTATTAACTGGAACAAGCTGGTTCTCCTATGGGGGCCACCTGGGACCGGTAAAACAAGCTTGTGGTGCGTTCCAGCATTTGACCAGAAGTCTAAACACTAAAAGCATCCCAGCAGCGGTCTAGCTCAGAAGCTCGCAATACGCCTGGGGAAAGACTATCCCCAGAGTAAAATGTTCGAGATCAACGCGCATGCGCTAGGAAGTAAGTTCTTCAGCGAGGGAGCGAAGTTAGTGGATCAGATGTTTGAGCGCATAGATCTGCTGCTTGAAGAGGAAGACGAAACGCTGGTCTGCGTATTCATCGATGAAATCGAGACGCTCGCTGCCCGCAGAGATCGAGCTTTGAGTAGCAACGAACCATTTGATGCCATCCGAGCCGTGAACGCTTTGTTGACAGGCCTCGACAAAATCAAGGCCCATCCAAATGTGATTGTGGTCTGCACGAGCAACTTGTTGACTGCCCTGGTAAGCATTCACCTATAGCACAATATGAAAGCGGCTGATAAGCATCGTCGTCTTGTGTAGGACCCAGCGTTTCTCGACCGAGTCGATATCAAGCAATGTGTACCGAATTTATCCAGCCGATCGATTTATCGCATCTACAAAGATTGCCTCGAGGAGATGAGTCGTAACCGTATCATCGAAGGGGCCGCATTTGACGTGAAACTCCTTCAACCGGATGATCCTCAAACGCGATTGTCGTACATGGAAGAGCCGGCCGAGCAGCTCATGTTACCGACGTATGATGAGATGATTGTCAACTACCCGATGTTTCCAGAGGCCGTTCCCACACTGCTGGCGGAGGCGGTGTCGGAGAGTCTGGTCAGTGCATTCTCTGGTGGGAATTTAGTGAACACCACGCTGACCCGTGACTTCAACTCTCGACGTAGGGACTGAGCGGCCGAACAGTTCGTCGACTGCCCCTTCTATCGCTAGTAATGTATGGCGAGGAAGGAAGGAGCGATATTCGCCAGGCCATTGATGCGCTGAGAAAGGGCATCGCGGCGGAGAAGATGACTAACCAATGAGAGCCGACGGATTAAAACCAAGCCAGTGAGGCGAATAGGAGGCCCGGGGCAAGGCGAGGGATCCAGAGCCATTGAGGGCCATAGACCAGGGCATGGAGGTATGGGGAGAAGAAAGAACAGCATTAAGGAGTTTTGTCATGCCTCCAATAGTATTAAATCGAGTAGTGGTTTGAGGAAGCTGAGTGAGGGAGTGCAGTGCATCAGACCAAATGATGCCGGCCGGCCTCGAAAATTGGTTGTTCCGAAAAGTCGCGGTTTTCACCGAAGCCAGTTAGCAGCCGGCCAGCAGCCAATCAGCGGCAGGGTTTAGGCAATTCCAAGCCCAAGAGAAACTTGACCCGTTCGACCAACCTCGACTTCAATTGAACCTCCAAAAGCACATTCTCCCACTGCGCTCCAGCCTTGTCCCCTCCCCCCCTCCCTCTCCTCCTTCCCCCACCACCTCTTCTGTGGCTATTGTGCCGTCCTAATTACCCATCGTCCGGAGGGTTATACATATCGTCAGTATGCTGGGCCGTACTGTTTTGCGCAGCGTGCCCTTCCGGGGTGTCGCACGTCAGACCTTGAGCAAGACCTCCACGGTACGCTATTCCCGGACTTCGACCCCAATTGACCCCATGCCATGAGGTCAATCGATGTGCAATCGATCACCAATTCTTCAGCAAGAGCCTTTGACTAACTTGCTGACCAGCGTGCGTCTTCCTCTGCCGCCGGTCCCGAATCCGCCAGCTCCCCCTTCAACCTCACACTCACTGCCTCGGCCGCCACCGCCGTCGCTATCGGATCGGCCGCCTATCTCTATGGCCAAGAGGCTCACGCCATGACGCCTGCTGAGGAGGGGTGAGTAACACTCTAGAAAGAATTCAGAATTAGCCGTCGACCAGACCAGCTCCGCTGCTTCGGAAAGATGGCTCGTCCCAACCCGGCCAATCACACCACCACAAAGCTAACAGCATCGAAATCCAGTCTGCACGCTACCGCATACCCTTGGGAGCACGCCAAGTGGAACAAGACATTCGATCACGCCGCGTGAGTAACCTCTTTACCTGTTATCCTGACACCGGGGAGCCCACCATGGACCTCACTGGCAACTCCCGCAACCTCGGCAATTGTGCTCATATGATTCCTTTGTGTTCAAAATACAGTCTCCGCCGTGGTTTCCAGGTCTACCGTGAAGTCTGCGCCAGCTGCCACTCCCTGACTCGTGTGCCCTGGCGCTCGTTCGTCGGTGTCCTCCACACCGTCGATGAGATGAAGGCCATGGCCGAAGAGTACGAGTACGACACCGAGCCCAACGACCAGGGTGAGATTGAGAAGCGCCCCGGAAAGCTGTCCGACTACATCCCCGCCCCCTACCCCAACGAGGAGGCCGCCCGTGCTGCCAACGGTGGTGCTCTGCCCCCGGATCTCAGCCTGATCGTCAAGGGCCGTCACGGTGGCTGCAACTACATCTTCAGTCTGTTAACTGGCTACCCCGACGAGCCCCCAGCTGGTGTTGTCCTCGGTGAGGGCATGAACTTCAACCCCTACTTCCCCGGTACCGGTATGTATACAACCGAACACTCCGATTGACCGAAGACTCCTCCCATCTGACCGCTGAAAATTCAGGTATTGCCATGGGTCGTGTTCTCTTCGACGGTGTCGTCGAGTACGAGGATGGCACCCCCGCCACCACCTCCCAGATGGCCAAGGATGTCGTCGAGTTCCTCAACTGGGCCGCCGAGCCCGAGATGGACGACCGCAAGAAGATGGGTGTCAAGGCCATCACCCTTCTGACCGGTCTCTTCGCCCTGAGCGTCTGGGTCAAGCGTTACAAGTGGTCCCCGATTAAGACGAGAAAGATCGTGTACAGCCCCCCCGTTTCCCGGCGCTAGAAGAGGAGAAGCCTCGCCAAAAGCGGAACCACCCTAGAAATGTTTGCCAAACAACCTTCAAACCAAGTGAAATTGGGAGGCTGCCAGAAAGGGAGATAAAGAAAAAAAAATAAAAGAACAATTCCGGCGACGGGCGAAAGCTTTATTGATATAAATGCCTGTATCATAACAAATCTGGGAGTCGTCCTTACGTGTTTTTTTTTTCTTCCCCGCTGCAAAGACTTGTGCTGTTTCACGGACATTTATTCGATGTGGCCTCTGCTTTATGTTTCGTTAGAAGTGTGTGTTTGTTGTTTTTTTTACCTACTCCACAGGACACCTGTATCTTGTATCCTAGATATTTATTCTCCTTTGAAAATGTTGTTTTTTTGAAGGTTCCCCCCGCAATGTCACAATTTCTTATGTTTTGATTCGGATCGTGATTTTCGGCATGGATAGTAAATGTGTGCTGTGGGTGTGGGTGTGGTTGTGGCTGTGGCAGATGTGGTATATAGGCTTTCTTCTCCCTTGCTTTCGCTTTCATTTTTTAACATGTAGAAAAAGAGCGGGAGCCAGGTATCCGCTGCTCATCTCATTGTATGTATGGTGACTATTGAGACATGTACGGAGTACTAGAATGCTCTTTTCGATACTGAAGCCATGCATCTAGAGCACCAACCAATACCTCTATTCCCCCCTCAACCCCAGCCCACATCATTACATTATACCTCATATCATGACCTCTAGCAAGTGACCCTCTCTAGCTAGTAACTACCTGCATTCTCACAGCGAACGGTAGCATCTCAACAAACCCCCTCCCCCTCTGTTACCTCCACCACCCCCATCCCGACCACCCCATCTCCACCTCCATCTCCATCCTCTCCCTCCACAACCGCAGACCCAACCGTCCGCTCCCCATCCCCAAACACCCTCACGAAAAACGAATCATACGACCGCCACATCGCCCCAAACACCGCGTCCTGCGCCCGCACCAACCAGCCCGGATGCCGACCATCCGGGCCGGCCAGCGCGCGGCCCAGCCCGATCAGCCCCATGACCACGGGCCCCCACGCCGCCAGGAACGCGACCTGCCCGACCCGCTGCCGCCGCGTCGTGATCCGGTACGGCCGGATGCCGGCCAGGTAGGCGCGGTAGGCGCGGGGGAGGTTGTGCTCGGCGGCGCCGGCGCGGATGAGGCCGAGGTAGCGGGCTGAGGGTTGGGCGTAGAAGGGGTTGGGGCGGGTGGATTTGGAGGTTGTCGGTGTGAGGGGGGTTGCGGTTGCAGCAGCCGCAGCAGCCGCACCAGGGGAAAGTAACGTATGTGCCTGGAAGGGCACAGTGCCGGGGTGCTCGGGGACCGGGTCGGTTTGGGGATTATAGGTCTTGGGGAAGGCGTAGCAGTCGATCACGGTGTCGATGTAGCCGCGGCCGCCGCCTTCGGTGGCGATAATGCGCGCGTAGTCGGACAGGGTGACCTCGTAGACGACGCCGACGAGCGGCATGCGCGGGCTGTAGTCTGGTTCTCCGTCTGTGGGTGTGGTGGTGGTGGTGATGGTGGTGGCGGCGAGGAGGGGCAGGGAGGGGTCTGTTTCCTTCGGTGGAGCGTGGTCCGTGTCGCTGCGGACATTTACGACGCCCTCCTCATCGTGATATTCCCTATCCTCCTCGGTGCCCTCGGCAGCACCCCGACGGTATCTCGTTGCCGCGAAACACGGCTCCGCGTAAGGGATTCCCGGTAGATCGAAGGTGAGCCACAGACTGGGGACGACGACATTCGTACTGGACAGAGGGCGGATGCCTCGCGTGCCGAGGAAGGTTTCCGAGTTCAGGTTCGAGCCGTAGGCGAGGTACAGGACGGAGTCGTCGGAGGTAGGGAGCGATTGCGCGCTGACGCCGTGCGCTTGTAGCGCGGCCAGCTTCTCGGCGAGGTGGGCGTCTCTGTTGAGAGAAGGGTTCGTCATGGTGGTTGTGGTGAGGGAGCTGGGCTGCTGCTGCTGCTGTGGTGCATCGTCCATGTCTGAAGTATCCCTGTGAACCATTGTAGGAATACTCCGCGGTTGTAGGTATGTACAATCGAGCGCCTTGCGAGACCGACACTTGACAATGACGCTGAAACTCAATCAATGGGATCGGTGTAACGAATGGAGACCAATTTCGCAACCTCCACAACCATGGACATGACCTGCTGGCAGCCCGTGAGCAACATGATGGATTTATATCTGGTGGAACTCTCGAAACCAGGTTTCGGTCTCTGGGTCGCTCGGTTGGTCGTTGTTGGCGAAGCCGGGGTTATCGGAACGGATCCTCGACCAGCCGGGGGTTTGATTACCAATACTCACTTATTCCCGGTGGGTGAGAGAGAGAGTTGCAACTGCAAATGCTGCTGCTGCTGCTGCTGCTGCTGTTCTTTGGTTTTGAGATGGGGTATTCTTTCCCCTTGAGCATCACCAACAATGCGGCTCTGATATAAGCTCATGGTCCCTTACCAGTGACCATAGAGCAGCAACCAACGGGTAGTGGATGGCGCAATCCCGCCGTTGAATGCAGTAATAGTACTCCGTACCGTGTATAGTAGCTCTCGGTGCCTGCGGGCATCGCGGAGATTAGATCTTATCGGATCTCCCCCATCATGAGCCATAATGGGGCATACTTCATCGCTTTCCACTCCTCTATGCTAATTCAGCTTACGTATTATCCCGAATCAATCACCACCAAACATCTGGTCTATGATCTATGCCAATGCGCAATGCCAACGTACCCAACGATGTGTCGGTGCTCCGAGGCGCCTTCTTTACCTCTAAGGCTCTGCGCAATGGGCTACTCTTCCACCGCAAGGAGGGTTCGTCAAAGCTCTATTGCCTGCCTCACCGTCAGAAAGTTCCTATTCGCAGACCTGCCTATACTTCATGAATGTCGGGCAAGCATCGGCATAGGTACCTTCCCTTACCTTATAGTTGCAAGCGCAGCCTTCTTGTCTTCATCAAGGCAACGTGGCCGAGTGGTTAAGGCGACAGCCTCGAATGCTATCTGATAGCACTGCAAGCTGTTGGGTTCGCCCGCGCGCGTTCAAATCGCGTCGTTGTCGTTCACTTTTTTTGTCCAGTGAATACTCGTTCAATGCTTGGGAATTAGGCTAAGATACTGTCTAGCTAGCTTACCTCCGCCAAGCCCAGTCCGCATCGGAGGACACATAGGGGCAGTGCAGTAGGCATGGGTACGTGGCGCTGGCTAAAGAAATTGCTACACTGTCCACGTGGACGAGCCATTCAAGATAGTATTCATTGATATTCATTACCTAGCTTATTACCCGCCGCAAGGGCGTAGAAAAAGATCCAATACAATAGAAACTCGTAGATCACTTTTGTGTTTAACCCCGCTCCCCAAACCAATTAGAGTCGTACCTCAGAACAATACAGAAACCCGGGCGAGAGCCGTTCACTGAGAAGAGGTCAATTTCTCTCGGCGAGCGCGCACCGCCTGGGCCAGGTTCTCCAGCACCAGCTCCGTATCTTCCCAGTGGATGCAGGCGTCGGTGATACTGACACCGTACTTCAGGCCGGCCTTGCCCTCGGGAGGAACCTTCTGGTTACCTGCAAAAAACAAAAAAAGAAAAATCATTAGCAAAATGAACCAGACAACAACAAAGATCCTACATACCCTCGTTGATGTTGCTTTCGATCATCACACCCATGATAGCGGTCTCGCCCGCGGCGATCTGCTCAGCCAGAACAGCGGCGACCTTGGGCTGGTTCTTGTGGTTCTTCTGCGAGTTGCCGTGGCTGCAGTCCACCATCAGACGGGGCGGCAGGCCCTGGGCCGCCAGCTTCGCCTTGGCTTCCGTGATGCTCTGCGCGTCGTAGTTGGGACCCTTGGTGCCACCGCGGAGGATAACGAAGCAATCCGGGTTGCCGACGGTGCCGACAATGGCGGCGACACCGGGCTTGGTGACGGACAGGAAGTGATGGGGGTGCTTGACGGAGCCAATGGCATCCACCGCCACGCCCAGCGAGCCATCGGTGCCGTTCTTGAACCCGACGGGGAAGGACAGACCCGAGGCCAACTCCCGGTGGACCTGCGACTCCGTGGTGCGAGCCCCCACGGCTCCGACCGACAGGCAGTCGGCCAGGAACTGCGGGGAGATGGTATCGAGCATCTCGCTGGCAATCGGCATGCCCTTGTTGGTGAGGTCGACGAAGAGCTGGCGAGAGACGCGCAGACCCTTGTTGATCTTGAAGCTGTTGTCAATGTCCGGGTCATTAATCAGACCCTTCCAGCCAACAGTAGTCCGGGGCTTCTCCAGGTAGGAGCGCATGACAATCAGCAGCTCGCCCTTGTACTTCTCCTTCAACGTCAACAGCCGATCGCAGTATTCGAGGGCCATTTGCGGGTCGTGGATCGAGCATGGTCCGATGACGACCATCAAGCGGTGCCGGTCGGTGTCCGTGCCTTGAACGATAGCCGTGGCCTCCTCACGGCCTTCGAGGACCGTTTGTCTCGACTTATCCGTCAAGGCGATCTCATGTTGAAGAAGGTTGGGGGGAGTAAGGGGGTTGTATCCGCGAACTGGGGTGGAAGAACGCAAGTCGTTAGTGACAATGGCATGAAAAATGGATAAACTGGGGAGCACACATACTTCTTGAGTCTTCCAAGGAAGTTCTGTCTCCGACATTGGGGTTTTCAATGAAGAACTGGATGGGTTTGATGAGCTTGGAATCGGAAACATCGAGGATGGCTGCAGGTGACTCACCGACATGGTGGGCGGCGGCGGCGGGGTGGGATGAGATGGCGATAGAGAGAGAGAGATAGGCAGATAGTATGCCCGATGAACTATAAGAAGGAAAGGGAGATGATAGAGTGGATTCAAACGAGAGCAACCAAGGTTAAGATGGAGAGAAAAAAAGATTGACCTAGGGAGTCAATTGTGCCAAAACAGCCGAGTTGTAGTTCAATTGAAGGCTAGTTCAATGCGCCTCTTATAAGAAATTGTCAAACCTGATTGTTCTTGGGAGAGGGGCAAAACCTCGTCACTCGCATTTGGGCTGGCCTCCTAAGTCGGCGGGCGCATTTCCATTCGAGTCATAATCCTTCGATCCACGTGACTTCGGTGAGCGGACAAATGCCCAACACTGTTGTTCCCATTGGCTGCGTCCCCTGGAATACACCACACTCTGCCAGGTGCGTGCTGCAGCTGTACTGCACAGAGCTCACTGCAGTAGTCAATCACTACTCAATTGCCATCGTTGATCCATTTCTCCCGATGCTAGCTGATGCTGGTAGCAAATACGATCGATTTGCAGTAAGACTGGTGCTTGAGAGCGTGTTCTACTCAGGTTCGCTTCTGGAAACCAGGCGTCCACAGTCACAGGGGGGCTCCAGCTATTGTTGCTCCCTACCATTTCGGGTGACTGACCCAAGACTTTCATGAGGCACGGCATTCCAGACTGGATGTACGGTGAATTCCATCAACTTGAAACTGGATGAACAGACTGTCCATTACTCGATGTGGCAGCGGGCATGAATGGGATACTCATAAATTGTCAATTGCCTCACCATCGTCGACTCTAATTGGCAGAAGTAGCTGAATATGTAAGATCAAAGCTTCTCTTCCATCGCGAACTTCTTGTTGACGTCAGATGCCATAGTTATGCAAGATCGCTTGAAACTATATCTAGAAGTTTAATTGATGCCGAGGAGCTTCTGAAATCGCTTCTCATCTCTTTCCATCCGGTGAACCAGTTCCTCGCAGATCTTGGAATGATGTTTGCGAATACCTTCCATCTGTTGCTGGCATAATCTAATCCGTGCCTTCTGAGCCTCTGAGAGCTGGTCAAGCATGTCATGGCAGTTCTTCCGGAATGACTCAAACACCTCGCTTATAGTAGTGTTCTCGCTCTCGATGTGGCGGTTCAAAGACTTGGCACAATCACCTCAGTCAGCACAAGCAATACTCGTCCGTAATTCCGCGCTCGTAGAGTGTTGGACCCACCTCGCTAGTCTCCAGCAGCATTTTCTGCACGGCAGTATTCTGGATAGGTCCGGATATTTCCGGCTGGTTATTCCTAGCTGCGCATAATTTCAGCCGGTTAGCAAAGGAAGCTGGCCCTTTCCCGACCGTATAGCCTCTGTAGGACTCAGGCAAGGATGCCACATCCCCTAGAACAAGTGTCTGTGTCTTGTAATGTTCCTTATATTTCTCTGAAAGGAGGCGGGGACTTCCATTGGTATCGACTATCGTGTTTCTAGGAGTCCTTTGGAGGGAACAGGGGGAAATGCTGACAGCCTCGTCGCTTAGACTCTCCTGAGAGCTCGATTGGGTATGATGCTCTTTCGAAGGAGTCTCTTCCGATGTCACGGACGGTGATGTGCTTCTTGAGCTGGAAATCCCCTCTGGCACACGCTCGATAGACATAACTCCGTGATGAGTTATTTTAGTACCTATTTCTTGAGCTTTCCAGCCTGTGTCCTCCATGAATGCCATGCTTGACTCGGGGTATACGGGAGGACTCCTGTCATTGCTTGTCAAGTTCTCGAGTTCATCACTTTTGTTCTGAAGAGATTTGTCTGTCATCGTACCAACCGTACATAATGCTGTGAACGGCCCTTCAACAGGGTGAACCTGCACCTCCTGTCCTCGATATTCGAGCGATTGACTGCGGGTCATAGGAGCTGTCATGTCTTCACCGTTCCCACCTTGGAGGCCAGAGCAATAAAGCCCTATCCCGTCACTGCTGTCAATCCCCGGGATCTGGATGATAGACAGGATTGAGTCCATGTTCTCCTTGTCGGACAAAAGAGTTTCGAGGTACTTGTCCGTAGCCGCAGGGCTTGACATAGCATTAACAGACGCTTCATCTCTCAAAAGAGCCCGAGGAGCTTGAGTGCCGGTACTCCGTGGGCCAGCAACATGGCGCAGGGTCACAATCAACCTCTTTCGCCGAGTTCCAAGGTTCTCGTCCTGTCCTTCTTCATCAGACACAGGAGCTCCGCGTTTCTTCGGGTTGGTCTTCTTCGACACAGCCCGCTGGGCTGTTGTAGAACGTCTTCCAGTCAACGGCTTCTTCCGCCTCACCTTCCCTTTTGACGCACTCGTGATTCCACGAGGTTTGTGGCCGTCATTGAAGGTACAGCTGTCCCCAGGTAAGGGCGATGGAACCGAAGTCGCTTCAGTGCTCTGGTGTGCCGTCACTTCGCCTGGCTCATTGCTGGGTCTCAAATCCTCGTCCCAATCTACCGCATCGGAGATACACCTTGCCACACGCTTGTTGACCGGTCTACCGCTCCCACTATCAGGCATTTCCATAGGCAGTCGAACTTCGAGGTCTATGAGGGCTTGCTCGTCTTGGGGAACCTCGCATTTGTGACTGTGATGTAATTCCGCTTCAGAGTAATCTAGCTTCGGGCTTGGTCCAGGTTTCTACCACCGATTAAAACAGTTAGGATGCGATGGTTAATCGGAAGGTTCAAGGAAAAGACAATGGGAGGTACCGATGGGTCAATGTCGGTTTGAGTATAGTGTTCCTCTGCGGTGCTCTTCTGAAAGTGTTCGAATGACTTATTGACGACTTCGTCACTGGTATACAATGAGACCAGGACGGCGGATATCTTCGTGACAATCACACTCTTCACCGTACTTGGACTGCTTAGCTGGGACATACCCTTCAGGTTTGGTCACGTTGTGATGGAATTGATTGTGGGTGGGATTATGTGTAGTGGGGGAAGTCACGTCTTCTAGCGGATCGCGCATGGTTGACATGTGTCAGTCTGAGTATGATCTGAGGGAAGTGTGAGTAGTGGTAGTGTAAGTTTGCTTACTTCTGGCTGCATCTAGCGACAGTCAAATCAATATCGTCAGATGAACCATCGGACATACTTGAGAATTAAAGTAAACTGTATAGATATCATAGATAACTCCAACGGATCGCTTCGGATTCTGAAGAGGTCTGCGCTTGCACTGCGCACTGCAGGGTTGGGTACTTTCCTAAACGATACGTTATTCGGTGGTTAATGAGAGGTTCAGTAAGGAAGGTGCTACTTGCTTCAAAATTAGCCGCCTGCTTACACTTAAATACATTCTTTACATTCATCATAATCAACAAAATTCAAGTCACGAAATAGTGTTACATATTAGTATGGCTCTCGACGAGCAACAGCTCCTGGTATCAATAAAACGAGAGATCAATGTACAAAAAAGCACGACATGCTGACGAACTGTGGACAAAGCCCCCCACTTCAACAACGTGTCTATAAGCGCGGTCGATACATATAACATGAAAGTTCAAAGTCAGAGAATATGGCTATCTCGTAGATATTGTGGGCGTAGCATCATAGATCATCAAGCGTCATCCACAAGGAGAGGAATGAGAGACGAGCCGTGGAAATACAAACAAGGTACAGGGAGATTGTATGTGCAGGAGGCATGGATGAGATATGCGAGGCATACTGCCAGAATGCGGTTGAGCCGGAAAGCCTTAGACACTCTCGTCGGGTGCGACATTTGGCGTCTCCTGGACACCAGAGTCTTCCTGGTATCCTGGGGCTGTGCTGCGTCCCGGAAGCCAAGCATCATGGAGGGGCAAAATGAGACTCGGATTCACATATTTCTTGAGCCTGAGTCCCAGTTCTTGACCACCAATTCGAATCGGGAAGGCATCACGCTCGAGACCAGATGGCGGCGAGAAAGTCGACGATGGAGAAGGCGAGATATCTCCTCCACCAGGGCGTTCACGGTCGATACTCTTCAGCGCGATGAATTTCATCAGGGGCTCGTAGTTACGCGAGAAGAAATAGCTGAACCACACAGTTGCCATCAAGAGGGGAACGATGAGTAAAGAGCGGGTGATGGCTCGGCGCAATGCCAGGACACCAATCATCGCGAGCTGAAAGACGATCAAGCCCATCAGCACACGACTACATATCATGGGCCACGCTCGCCCGGTTGAATGCTGTTGGTGGTCCATGGCATAGAGAAGCTGGTACTTGTAGATGAATTTACCGATGGTAAAATAAATCAGCCCGAAAAGACAAATTAACCACGAGCTGGGGAAGACACTATAAACCACACAGATGATTAAACTGAGAATTGTCTGTGGGATAGAGTATCCGTAGCTGAACACAGGGGGCGTGTTGAGCTCGGCGTAGTCGCGGGGTGTCTTCGCTGTGAGAAAGTTTATGGGATACATCGCCACGCTCCCAAACTCCAGAAGACGAAATGGGAGTAAACCTATACCTTGTAGACACAGGAAATTGATGTAGAAAGGGGCGAAGTTCTCCAGCGTCTTGGCCAGTGCGAAGGCAATGGTGGTGGCATCCTTGAATGCATCTCTGAGATTCTCCCAGAAACCGAAGAATGTTGTTGCAGTCCCGAACACTGTAAAGACAAGGAAGAGGTTGAAAAAGGAGAAGAAGAAGGTCTTCGAAATGACGGACAACTCAATATCACCGCGAGACATCATGCCCTGCTGATGCGACAGCCCTGAGTAACCGGTCAGTTCCTGTAGCGATAAAGACTAACAAAGATTGACTTACAACTGTACAGGTACGGCACCGCGATCGTCAACAAGGAGAGGACCAAAGTGGGAAGACCAGTTTGAACCAAGGATTTGGCAAGAGGGTTCCGTGACAAAGCATCCGCGAGCTGGGGGAACACCTTGTGAAGCGTCTCATACTCGAGCAAGTACGCCACAGGAATCAAAAGCACAGACCAGAAAACCGTCAGGAAGCCGATGACAACTGTAATGGACCAGGATTGCATCATTCGTCTCGAGCGAGGTATGTAGGTGTTCTTCCACACAACATCGGCAGGAGCTGGTGCCAACCGAGCAAGAAGCTGCATTGGCTGCGGATCAAGGATGGCCTGAACAACCATCTGCGAGGCGGCAATAGACTCCATCGTGACGAATGCGATCTCAGTGGGTGGGTACTCCTTTTGGCGTGCAAGCTGGATCTGTTCATCGATCCTCCGCAGCTTCTCTTCGTAATAGTCGATAGCATCCACATTCCGGTAGCGCAGCTTGAGTGGTCCATACCAGATGCGGGTAGTCGGTCGTTTGTGAGCATAGTCAAGGACATGGTCTGGCATGCTGTCAGAGAGAAGTTGTATGCGCTCGCTATCCTCCTCCGAAACGATGCTGGATCCACGCGCATGTTGCTGCAACAATGGCAATCGATTTGCGTTTGCCTTGACACGTTTATAACCCAGGTGCTTCGTCCATGCCCACTCGAGATTCCGAAGGATTTTGAGCCGCTCATCAATTAGCCGGTCCAATTCGCGCCAGTCTTTGCACAAAGTAACGCTTTGCACTTTCCCAATCTGCAGACCCTCTATAAACTCTCTGATATTCTCCTCCGACCCCATGTCGTGAGGAATACCAGAGAGACGAATCGTTCTATCTGTCGTGCTTGTTTGACTCCCGAGATATTGCTGCCGGATACGAATGACCTTGTTTGTATCCTGCACGAGCATGTAGACGGCGAGTCCAGTAAAGATGTACGTGAATACCACATACATCCAGAGGTAATTCGGGTCCGAGATAATCTTCTTCTTATCCTTGTCGCCATCAAAAGTGTCAACAGGCTCGTCATCGTCGTCCCAGCCCGGGACGCCCGATTTACCGGTATTCCTGTAATGCATAGGGAGGATAATGACCAAGGCGAAGAAGAATACGGCGGAGAGGAACCGAATCGCGAATTTGAGGAAGGTCAAGAACTGAATCGGACATTGGGATTGTCAGCCACTATCTAAGACCAGGAACAAGCTGACGGGGGCATGCAGCAGCACTTACCACAAATGCATCTAAGCCCGCCGACTCGAGCACCTGTTCTTCAGTAATCCGATACAGCACAGGTATCCAACCAAAGAAGCTATCCGGGAGTTCAGGCAAGTGGGATGCGGCGCAGCGCTGTCTTCTCCGCGCGGCATAAAGCTCGGTCCATTTCGGTCGCAGAACCTATGCCAGTTCGACTCGTTAGAGAAGAGGAATTTCCAAGTGGCTTCCAGCTACTTACACAGAAAGCAAGGAAAGCGCCCAGACCGATAGTCAAACTAATGACAAACTGAGTGTAGAGGTCGCGAGAGTCCGTTTGATCCCCCCAACTCGGCTCATGTACTTCAATGGGCGCATCAACCACGGTCAGCATCGCTGCCGCAGCAGATTGCGTGAGCGACATGACTCTCGTGAAGTCGTGTTCTGCGCTTGAGTGCGTTTGACGGATGTCTCGGGTTATCAATGCATATGGGCACGCGGAGCTCTTTCTGTCCGGGGAGGAATGCGCAGCTTAAAAACAACTGACGTCAGGGGGGCCAGATTACACGTAGTACACAGCGTCACAGCCTCGAAGTTGTTGCGAAGTGTAAAGCAGAAATGCCAAAAACAGATCCACGTCAGGCAACATTCGAAGCAAGGGACCTACACCGCAATCTCTGCGCTAAAATGCGATCTTCGCCGTGTCGGGCATCGCTTCACTTCGATGGGCGTCTCAACGAACCCAAACTCAAACCGTCCTCATGCACAAACTTGTGCCGTCGGCTGACTCAGCACACCTTTATGTCTCGCTTCCAGTCTCTACAGGTACAGTCGTTCGTTTTGTACAGCCGAGCTGCAACCATTTAGCCGGCATTGAAATTGATACGAAATTATTAAACATTGATCAATAGTCAAAAGACGCGAAGTTCTTACTGTCTGTCAAGGAGATAGATGCTAAATAGTGGTTATGTGGCCTGTCACACTGCATCGAGTGAGAAATATTGCTCAGTCCACCAGTAGGTGATCATGGTTTGTCCGCCAAGGCACCTGGCATTATTGGAAGCGATCACTCATCCTGAGTGTACTGTGAAGCATCATAGTACAAATCAAGCAGGCATCCAGCAGACCATGCTTGCGTGGGTGACTATTGGAAATATTATAGTTAGCGCCGCGATTTTGCTCAACGGGGGGTGTGTTGAGGCTTACCGAGTCAGCGCAGTGTGCACCGTCCTTGTTCGAGAGCTCCGTGAGACCTCTCCACGGACTCTCTCTCAAAGCCTTTTTGCAGCCTTCTAGTCGTCGAGTAACCTGCTGGTAGGCCTCAGTTCGCTCCTCGCGTGTTGTTCTGCGAGCTAGATCAAAGTGCAGGAACGCACGGAGGAAGAATCCGCGCTGCCACACCCATTCCGGACCTTGATGATAGTTTCTACCCTTGGAGGTAGTGAAATCCTCAGAATCCTCGGAGTTGTTGTAGTAAGGTCGGTAATTGAGGTCAGAAGGATCAAGAGTAGCCATGCCGACCGGGCCGACCAGGACCTCATCGGCAAGTGCCAGGGCTGACAGTGCTTTCGAAGGCGTGAACAAATCTGGTGCAACAGTCATGGCAATCGGGAAGTTTGAACGAAGCTGGTAATCTTCGTATGGCTTTCCTGATTTGTAAAGATCCTTGTAGATTCCACGCCGGTTGACCACATTCCGATCAACAACGTAATTGGCATCCTCATCCGGATTAGGTGGAACATAGTAGCAGCGCTCGAAATTCTCCTTGATCTTTGCCGCCCATGACTTGAAAGTCACTGACTTGCCTTCCCCAAGATCGACCCCAGAGTGCTGATAAAGTCCCCGCTCGTGTAGCTCCGCTACCCACTTCAATGCACTGTATACAAGACCTGTGATTTCAATGGCAGCTCCGTCACGCGGCGTTCCAGGGACTCCCTTGTTCTTGGCTTTCTCGCTTTCTCCCATCTTATCTTGCCATGTTCCACAGTTGAACTGACTACCACCAAAGATCAGGCCCGTCTCCCAGTCGACCTGGACATTTATATCGAACCCCTCCGGCTTCATCTGTATGTCAAGGTCAGGCCCTGCATTGTATTCCCGGAACGATAAGCCCAGAGCGTGTCGTTGGAACACTTCCTGGATCACTTCGGATATAGTTGAGTGCTTTGAGTAAGCTCGCGGATCGTCGAATGGGAACCACGTATCGTCATAAGGAAGAAACCTTCTGGGCACTTTCTCGTCCAAGAGTTTGATTCCATCGGGTGCCATCACGGTGTAGTCCTGAATAGATTGAAGAAAGAACCAGACTGAATCACGAGAGTTATACCGTGGTAGTCTTCCACTACTGAGTAGATTGGGAATCATTCCGTGTTTGAGGACACTCGCAAATGCGAATATATGCTCCCTCGCATCCTCAAACCGACTGGTACAGAGTAGAAGCCCGCGCAGGGAGATGAAAACATCGCGACCCCAGCATCTTGCCCAGTCAACAGCAAAATGCGGCAAACCAGCTGCGAGACTAGGCACCCTCTTTATCGGCCATAAGGATGCAGAATTGACATATCCAGTCATCTGCACACTCACCATACCCAGCTGATGGATGAACTCTTGTCCTTTCTGTATATTGCCACCGAGGAGCTGAATGCCGCGCTTCCACGCTGCGTTGTAGGCAGTTTGAACTATGATGGCGAAATACCTGGGAAGTAGGAAGCTTGGCAGACTGCGAACAGCCTCAAACTTCTCTCGCAACCAGGCTGCAGGCTTGTGTAGAGCAGAATATCCTTCTGTCTTAGCAACCTTCTCGAGCCTTCCAACAATGTAGTCCAGAGCCCACTGGCCATTGCGCAAGTGATCGCAAAGAGGATGACCCAGTTCGTTGTACTTGATGACGTTCTCAAGTACACTCCACCAACCCTGAAGACCCGCATAGACCAGAGAGCCGTAGTTTGGAATGCTGTATACCCCGTCTTGGCCATTGCTAGAATCTCGCTCCTCTGCTTCGCAGCGATAAAGCACAAAATTGAGATCAACCAAGCTAAGGTTTCCAAAAGCATCGTCTACTCCCTCCGTAATATGAACATCAAGCCCAGACGCATGCTCAGCGCTGGGAATGGAAGTTTCATAGAGGGAGATAGATCCGGCAACAAGCGACTCCAGAACTGAGATGACTGTGTCGTTGCCGTCTTGTTCGGCCTTTGTGCCTTCGATAGCATGAACTTGGCTGGGTAAGCCCCGTAGGTAGGATTTGTCCTCTGACACTTCCTTCCTAGTACTCTCACTCGAGTCAACCTCCAGCCGCCACGTGCCAATATGCTTTGCTCGAGTACCGACCAGGCGGGTGGGTGCCAGTATCGCTTTACTATCTTGCCCTGGAAACGCTGTGTGGGCGATCAGGAAAACTCCCTTCCGCGTTTTCGGATGTACCCTGTGAACCGTGATGTACTCTCCATCGTGATGAATGTGAGTCTCGTCATATCCCTCTGAGCCCATGACAGTATGTAGTTCGTTGAGGAGTTTCTTGATGCCACCAATACCTCCTTCGAGCGAGTTCAAATCAACCTTGGAGGACTCCGAGAACTTTGATGAGTACAGACGAGTCTCATGAACAAGGTCGACAAGCTTGGGGTAGATTTCATCGTATCCGATGACGCTTCCGATGGCCGAGGCGCACATAGCTACTAGAGCTGCATTGGGAAGCGTGTCTATCGCTGTCCTCTTCTGGGCCGGCATTTCGTTGTCATGAGTACAATCCATGAAAAGAGCTTGCACAGGATTGGGGCGAATGTGAGAGACCTTCTCCTTCCCACTGTCGATCCCGGATGAAGCTATAGCATGACTACTTCCGGACGCAGGAACATCAACCCCAAAGCTTCCAATTGGACGGCCTCCATGGCGGTGCACAAGTCGGCTAAGCTCTCCGGTGCTCCAGGCTTGCATTGCCTCGCGAATGAGAGCGTTGATACCAAGTCGCTTGACGAAGATGTAATCCGCCTCTTCTGAGCCAGTAAATAGTTCTGCAAACACTGTGAGGTTGGGCCGAACTTTTCGTGCCTCATCCAGAAGATATTCTGCCACTACCAACGGCGTAGAATGACAATTATCAATGCGGAAACCCGAGAAATATTTAGCCATGAGTCGGGTATATTTAGTCATGAATTCCCAGAGGAAGGGATTATCTTCAGGAGAGGATCCATATCTCAATTTCACACAGTCACCCCAAACAATGACCTCTCGACGGAGATACGATTTGGAAAAAGGCCCAGCATTGTCCCGCAGCGCGTCAGCGTTCCAAATCCAGCCGTTATTGACCAGAGCCAGAGCCCTGCTATCGTGCTTCTTAGTGGTATCATTCGACGGCAGCCTCGTAAAGTACGTCTCGATAAGTGGACTTCGCTCCGTGACTGGGCCAAGCTTAGGTCCATGACTGTCGATCCGAAGGTATTTGATCCGATTGAAGAGCTGATTCATGATCTCCGCAATATCCGCATCGTATTCCTTGTAGAAAGGCAGATTTACCTCATCGAGGAGTTTTGAGATAGCTTTCTCGGCCGCAGTGGTATCAGAATTCGCAGCATCCGAGGGACCGAGCAGTGCAGTCAGTATCGCTGCTCCAAACTTCGGCTCAATCGCTCTGCTGTACCGGCCAAGAAGTTTCTTGGATGTCGGAATAGCTTTTTCACGGACGAAGATCGCTTGTTCTTCCAGAGTCCAACTGCCGAAATCCTTCAGCTTGTGATGCGACCACTCATCGCTCGTTATGTCGATGCTCTTGGAAGTTTGCCATTGCTGAATGACCTTCTGTGTATCCGCAGCAACGTTGACGACGTAAAACTCCCATAACTTGAGTTTGTGGATGACATGCTCACGAACTGCATTCATGACGGCGACAAGATCGTCCACTGACTTGAAGTCAGTCGGCAACCCGAGAGAAGCAAGATTTTCTCCGAACTTCAACAAGGCATTGTCCAGCTCCAAGGCAGATTCCAGCCATGGTGCAGTCTGAACGCTGTAGCCAGCTTCTGGATGTTCCTCAAGCCATTTGCTATTGTTGGCGGTGTGATTCCATACAACATCCGTCAGGGATAAGAGACCGTGCTTCTCTTCCATCTTCGTGACCAGGTTAGCGACGTCTGCCTCCCCGTTGGGAAACACAGCATCATCAAACTGTAACTGGTCAAATATACTGTACGGCGAGTTGGAGTCTCCGCGTTTCATCAGAGGCGTAAAATGGATCATGTTGTAGTTGCGCTGGCTAATACCGTTAAGATGCTTATCCCAATCTGTAGGATATTTCCCCAAGAACTTGGAGATGACCGAGTAAATGGAAAGAGCATTGAGTGGCAGATCGCGACCGCGGAGGGTCAGTTTTGGCGAGACGTCAATGTAGTAAGTTGGGGTTCTTGTCGGCTCCGGAGTTGCAGTCTGAGAAACCGAGAACTCAGGAAGCGGAGAGAAGGTCACGTAGAAGGCAAAAGAACCGGGAGAGGTGATGGGAACGTCGATTTGAATATTCTTGTTGAAGTCCGGAGAGAGTCTACCCATGGTCTCAACAATTGGACTGTCACCAACGCAAAAGATATTCAATCGTCTTCCTACCTGAAGCTGCGGAAAGCAGACCGATCAAATGGGTGACCATCTTCTGGGATGTTTACCCACAATTGACCTTCCCTGCAAATCGAGCTTGTCCCCTCGATCACGAAGCGGAGAAGGTAGGACGGGTCGGAGGGTGCGGGGAGATAGATGTAGCCTCCCGGAACGTCTGGAGAGCCATCATCCTTGAGAGGTAGCAGATAGACCTGCCGGGGAGAAGACATAGTGTGATCCTAAGCAGATGTATGGGAACTCCGATTGACCTTGTATGATTACGGTCGGACAAGAGCGTTGCTGTGGTAAAGACCGTGGTGAGGGGAGAAACGCGCCTGCTGGAGCCACCGATGTCACTAGGTGGAAAGGATGGGGTAGGTAGAGTAAGATAAGGGAACAAATGGGGGGGAATCAATTGCAAGATGAGGAGTCGGAGCAGTCGCAGTCGCGCACGAGCAGTGGGCCTTGAGGGGGTTTTTAAATCAATCCAATCTAGGAGAGAAGAGAATGATTGGAGACGCATCCAGGCCTGACCAAGTTTCTCTCATGTTCCTGGATTGCGCCTGAACCCAACCCCCGTGGCTGACTCCTCCTCCCCGCGCGGGAACCCTGACATCATGATCATGGGCCACCGTTTGTTGTTGTTGGCAAGCTGGCTGGCGGGCTGTAGCTTAGCGGGGAAGCGCGGGAGCGGGTAAAAAAAATTACCTAGTCTAGGCCCGGCCTTCGTGGTATGATGGATACGATGGATACTAACTCCGGACTCCGTCATCACCGGAATCTCCCAACTCCATGTTGGCAGACTGTAGTACAAAAGTATTGTGCAGTACAGTACTCTGTCTCGTGTTCCATATTTAGTCATATTTACCTGTATTAAGAATCATCGTAGCCCGAATTGCGGTAAATATAGTATAGAACAAGCCAGTGTCATAAAGGTCTATGGTCATCTATCTATGTGCATGGAAAAATAACGGTGAGAAGTTCAACAACAGGTCAGAAAGTAAACAAAGGATATAAACCCATTTTAGAACGTAGTGGCTGGAGAGAAAAGAGAGCAAGAAGGGGTATGTCGTATGTGCGTTGTGTCCTTCCGTCTTTACAACCGCGCGCTGAAGATAGCCTGGTTTGCGCCAACGCTCGTCGCTTCGTCCGTTTCCGTGTATGTTGGAGTAATCGGCTTTCTGTTATAAGATTGAAAGAAACATTTCCCAATGAATTAACAACAAGAACATAGCCAAAGGGACATGTCATCAGGTCTCATTTACCGCTCGATGAATGATGGAATATCTTCCACCGACATAGCTCCCGTGAGAACACCTACCAAAGGTTAGTTGTCTGGGGGTGTTAAGGGTCAGAACTTAGAAGAGGTGACTTACGGTAGACTGCAGTCAGCAAGGGGAATTCATCCTCCATGCCCTGCTTCTTCAGAAAGTTGTTCACTTCAATTGCAGTCAAAGTGCCCTGGAGCTTTTGGCCGTTCAGCTCAGTCTCTTCGACCTCTTCAATTGACTGCTTCCTTTCCACACTGAGCTTTGCGCAGCGGAAGTTACGGCCACCGCTGCAACTCGTGATCAGATCGGCAACGCCTGCACTTTCCTCAGTGAAGGTCCGAGTCTCGATGGTCGCGCCAAAGAACTTCTCGCCGAACTTGACCATCTCAAGAAGCCCAACCCGCATGATAGCAGCCTTGGCATTATCGCCCCATCCCATGCCGACTACCCAGCCGGCAGCGACCGCGACGACATTCTTCAGAGCACCACCAAGGGAGACTCCAGCAACGTCATTCACTACACGAATATGGAAGTAAGGACGATGGAACAGGGACTTGAGAACAGCATGATCGACTGGAGGGAACTCGGATGGTAGAGCCTGCAGCTTCACCTGGGAAAGCTGGCCAGATACATCCTTGTGTTCGAAGTGAACAAGGTTCTCAGAAGACGCAGAGGGAGAGCGGTTGGGCGAAGGAGCCTTGGAATCCAGGTGTGGGGGATCGTAGGCAATGCTGGACTCGGACCATTTCTCTTGCGCCACTTCACTGGCGATGTTGGCACCAGAAAGAGCACCGCAATAGATCCCCAGGATTTTGCCAATCGTTTCCGAGAAGAGGCTGATTCCTTCCTCGTTCACATCCACGCCCTTGATGCAGGATATACCCCGCGCATACGGCACAATCTTGCCCTTAATCTGTTCACAAGTCTTGATGATAAATTGATGAGGGAGGTTAAAGACAAGGATCGTGCTGTCCTTGACAGCATCCACCACAGATGGATTAGCGTGCAAGTTCTCCGGCAGAGTGATTCCGGGGAGGTATTTCACGTTCTCGTGAACGGTGTTGATGATGTCCGTCAGGTTCTGTGGCCCTTGGCACAATGGAGAGGAGGCGTTGTAGTGGCGTGAGTCCTTGGCGATTTCGACCTTCTCCTCAAAAACCCACATCTGAACATCTTTCTCGAAGATGGCAGGGTTGCTGGCAGTGTTTTCGGCGACGATTTTGGCGATAGCGGTACCCCTTTCGCCTTGTTAGCACCCAGTAACCCCTACTTACTCTTATTAAAGCGAGAGCGCGACCAAGTGTACATACCAGTTTCCTGAGCCGATCACAGCAACCCGGTGCTTGCGCTGATAAGGTCCAAGAGAGCCCATTGTCGTGTGATTGTCCAGAAGTTCACCAGACCGTCGAAAATGTGTGTAGGAGAAGTGCCGAACGGGGTGGGAAAATGAGGGATTAAAGTTTCTTGAAGGAGCAGAAAGCGGCGAGGCCCTCGGAGGTAACAAAGTAGGAAGGAGGCGCTGGGGTGTTTGGGGCCGAGGTAGAATCACAAGTGTCTTCCAGCAAGGTGGACGAGACCAGCGGCGTGATATAAGGCGGACTGGGGACTGCATCCACATGCAAAGGTCACAAATGAGATCAGTGAAGTTGGTCTGCCGAAGTGTGGTGGGTGGCAGTGTGGCTCCCTGATGTAAGAGCAAGATAAAGGGACGGGTTCGATAGCCGTAATTGTGGATCTCCTCCTTCCCAATTGAAGATACAAAGGACCTCGGAGGCTTGAGGGAAAATACTGATGGAAAGATGACGATCAAAACATTCCCTGGGATTTTCTGTACAACATCAACCCAGTTTTGGTTTAGCAGTGTTAGCAGTAGTGTAAGAACTTCCCCACCGATGAGAGATCTGTATCAGGTTGTTCAACCAACGAGAAACAGGCTTGTTGGACAGAATCTGACCGAGAGGATTTGCCTCCGACCGACCAGCCAAGAAGGAACCACGCTAATCATGTGCCAATGAAGTCCGAGGCCTTTTACGGCTCTTCCGATTCGGGGGAGAAAGTCGGAGACTGACAACAACCCGGGCGGTGAACGCAGGGGCTCGAACAATTTGTTGCACTATTCCACAAGAGGCTTGATTCCAAAAAATAGTCGGCAGTTTCAACAATTTATTATCAATTATACCTAATAATCACGAGCACATGCGACTGAACTCTTCCCCCCTCTTTTCCAGTTCAGTAAGAGAGAATAGATCGCACAGTCATGGTCAGTCGATTCGACTCCACTATTCGCTGCAGAATTGCCCCCTGACAGGTCGAATTATCATTTTAGGCCCCCATCAGACCGGCAAAGAAACAGGATGTCGTCAAGAAGCCCGCCAGCGGGAGTGGCACCTTTCCTACAAACTCGAGTCTCTTCGATGAATTTCGCACGACTAAGAAAGACAAACGCTTGATCAAGCATGCCAGCTTCGTTTCAAAGATTGAGAAGAGCTCGAATAAGAACCACAAACGGCGACGTGCCTCGAAAAAACTCGTCACAAATCTGGACTCCCTGGCGGATGCCCTACCCGAAACCGAGGAAGACTTGAAGAATTCGAGCAACCAGGTGAACATCATCAAGCAGAAGACTCTGAAACATAAGAAGGGTGCTCAGAAGCGCAAAGAGAAGCTAGAGAAGGTCGAACGAGACAGATTCGCAATGAACATGGCACAGCTGTCAAGCATGGAGACGGCTGCTTCGTCGAACGCCAATGCGACCCCCGACGCCAATGCAGGAACCAGTCGATGGGCAGCATTGCGAAACTTCATCTCTCAGACAATGGAACAACAACCTGCCTTCAAGACGAATCAATGAGATACACGGAGGGAGACATTGGAGGCGCAGGCGTCTCGGTAGCAGCTGGGTCAGAGAATCTGCTTTGCTTGGAATAAAGCGAGCATTCAGTCGAGAGCTACTCGGTGAAGGGATCTCCAGATGCAATTTTATGCCCCAATCGTGATGATTATTCTTGGCTCATCTTGCTCAAAGTCACTCATAGGGTCTGCATCGAAACGATTTGGACGTTTGAGCAGCCACGGCCACAAAATTCGAAATCGGAGTTCGTGCACTGCGACTTGACAAGTAAGAGACACACGCATGCTCAGGCATGGAATGTTGTGTTTACATATCAGCTCGGCGCATCTCCATCGTTCACTGAGTTTAAAAGACGGGCGCAGGACGATTGAAATCATGCTGCAACTTGTTTGTGTGCTGAAATTTCTTGTCAAATGACTCAAAAATTTTACATGACTTCGATTTGGCCATATGACTGATCAAGGAATCAGAGGTTTTCTATGCATATCCAAAATACTTTTGTATTGTTGTTTCACTCGTTCAGGTTGTTGTCCGGAATGTGACGGGAGGATTCTATTGTCGCCTGGTCTGGCGTATCCGTAGCCCAATTCAGCATCTAAGGCAGTTAGACTAAAAAAGTCTTACGTTGGCAGACATCGCTTGATATCAACAAAATACAAACCCTATTCAGTCCGTACAATCCAGACCACGTCATCTGCGGATAGCATCGTTTGATAAGCATCACGTGCTGCGGGGAAAGCTATCGGTTCGGTTGATTGTATCTTATCTGCCACCATCGGAAGCGACGTCTCCGAGAGCTCCTGTCCTATCTCTCCAGGCTTCTTCTCCCATCTCCTCTATTCAAAGCTTATAATATCCACCCGGAGAGGATTAGATTAGAGCATCGTCTGTACTTGTCCCATCCTCACGGTCATGCTGCGGTCGCCTCTTCGGGCGTGCGGTTCCCCTAGGGTGCACCGCTACTCTGTCCTCCGCTATCGGCATGCGCCGAACTCGCAATACCAAGGCAATGGTCGCGGGTTCACAAATTCTTCAGCAACATATCCCACACTTTCTCAATTTGATCGATCGGACTTCACCAGTCAGCCATGGACCGGAAGTTATGAAGCAGGGTTGCCAACAGCTGGGCCTCTCGGGTCTACTCCGGCCTTCGGGGCCCCGCGGGTCACGCCGAGATCCTTGAAACAGTATCTAGATCAGTTTGTCGTGGGACAAGATCGTGCCAAGAGAATATTGAGCGTTGCTGTGTTCAATCATTACCAACGAGTGCAAGAGCTGCAAAGGCGAGAAGAGGAAAACGCAGAGTCACTGGCCAAGCGCGCACGCAGGGAGGCACTCGAGCGCCACCCGGTCGAGGGTAAGACATCCGCAGTCACTTTACGAGCCAAGAATCTAGGTCTTTCGATAAACTCTAACTTGCATACAGATGAATTTCCAGGTCAACAACGAACCGTCCCTCTCCCTCCGAACGCGGATCTACTTGCGCCCACGACGGCCCCGGTTGAACTTGAAGACTCGCCAGACTCGTCGCCACTGCAGCTAGAGAAGTCGAATATTCTACTCCTGGGACCATCGGGTGTTGGCAAAACGTTGATGGCAAAGACATTAGCAAGGATCTTGTCGGTCCCATTCAGCATCTCCGATTGCACTCCGTTCACCCAAGCCGGCTACATCGGCGAAGATGCGGATGTCTGCGTTCAACGGCTGTTGGCCGCGGCGAATTACGATGTGGAGCAGGCCGAACGAGGCATAATTGTCCTGGACGAGGTGGACAAGCTTGCAGCCACGAAGATCAGCCACGGCAAAGATGTCAGTGGCGAAGGAGTACAGCAAGCTCTTCTGAAGCTTATCGAGGGTACAACCGTCCAGGTCCAAGCGAAGCAGGAGAGGAGCGCGCCTCGCGTCAACAACACCCCGAACACATATCCGTCGAACAGCCCTTTGGGCAACTCCCCGTTCACCCCACCTGGAGGGGGACATAGTCCGCAGAAGGGAGAGGTCTACAATGTGCGTACCGATAACATCCTCTTCATCTTCTCCGGTGCTTTTGTCGGCTTGCACAAGGTCGTCATGGATAGGATAGCCCGTGGCTCAATCGGCTTCGGTCAGCCGGTTCGGGCGCAGTCAGGCTCCTCCGAGCGTGCAAGGGAATCAGGCTCGGCGAATAATAACCAACCGGTTCCCATTCTCCCTGGCTCCGAGGAGGAAGCACTCTACCAAAAACACCTCCCCTTTTTCAACTCCGCCGCATCCGCATCACCCAACGGCGAGCCAGCCTATTTCAACGCCCTAGACCTATTGAACCCAACAGACTTGCAGAATTACGGGTTCATCCCGGAGTTAGTGGGTCGGGTTCCGGTCACAGCTGCACTATCAGCGCTGACGGTCCCGTTACTCGTCCGCATTCTCACCGAACCTCGCAACTCCCTACTCGCCCAGTACACGACCCTCTTCTCTCTTTCCGGCATCGAGCTCCGCTTCACAACGCCCGCGTTGCACAAGGTCGCCGCCAACGCATTCAACATGGGAACAGGCGCCCGCGCTCTCCGAACCGAGCTCGAGACGATCCTCAGCGACGCGATGTTCGAAACCCCGGGCTCCAGCGTCAAATTCGTGCTGGTCACCGAATCCGTGGCGGAGCGCAAGGAGAAGCCGATCTATCTGTCCCGCGGGCAAGGCGGGCGCTTCCATTCTCTCATCGCCGCCGAGGAAAGTAAATGGGAGGAGAGGCTGCGGCGCGAGAAGAAAGCCAAGACCAAGGACAAACAGCCCAAGCCGCAGACTTCGCCTGAGATGCATGCAATCTCAAACTTCAAGGAATACCGTAACCGAGCAGCTGGCTTCTGAGGAGAGGCTGATGATCCTTGGTCCGCTCACATCCTCGTTATCTCCATCTTCTATCCCTATCTCCCTCTCCGTGTAGGTTTCCACATGCAGCGATTGGCCTTTTCTGTTTGGTTCGTTTGGCGCCGGGGCAGTTGGGCTTGCACAGTTTCTATCTCAAAGTAGTCCTTTATTTTGTATTTCCCGTATGCGAATATGCATCCTCTTGTGAATATCATGATATCATTTGTACTGTTTCCTCCCTCCTTGGGGTCCTCAAAACGAGAAACCCAACAGATGCTTAAGAATATTTCAACAGTAAGAATGGAACGGACTTGTAAGCTTTAAAGGGTATTTCTAACTTCCTCAGGTACATTTTATAACAAAAACAACTCCACGCTGAAATGTGTAACATGAGCCTTTTTGAATATTTGCATGAGAAGGGGCTGTTTTCAGGTTTTTTTTTTTGTTCAGATTAAAGGAGCTTTCCGAAAACTTGTGGCCACCAATAACATTCACGATCGGCTTTAGCATCGAAACAGAGTGTGCGATGCTTCATTGATAAGGCTCGGGATAGTTATACTGCGCCGACGCCGAGTTCATTATTTGCGTGAGCCTTGAAGCTTTGTGTTCAGTGGGCGCCGCACGAAGGCCGCCCGGAGTACGCGGCGTGTAAGGCGATGCTGCCTGATGGCTGTGGTGGTCCTTTGCTCCGCCCTGCGAACCGGGCTTCTCGGTCAGCTTGCTCCAATAGTACCTGTAGTCGATCTGGAAGGATTCGATGAATTCCCTCGCGCCGTGTTTGAGCTCGATGTGGTTCCACTCCGCCCACCGCGGGACCTTCAGGCCGGGGCTGGTGACGACCACGAATCGACGGTACAAATGGTTATTGACGAGGGCCCATCCGGCGAAGAATTCGATCAGGTGGTCGGCATCGAGGTGCGCGCGCGACAGGCCGGCGGGGATGTCGGGGTTGTCTTTCTCGGTACGCGACCCGTAGCCCTGGAGTTTGGGAGGGGAGATGGCGTTGCTTTCGAAGTACTCGTCGGTGGAGCCTGATAGGATTTCGCCGGAGGCAGTGTTGTAGGCGGAGGGGACGCAGAGTTGCGAGATCAGACGGTACATGGTTAACCAACTGGGTTTTGGAAAGGGGTGAATGATTGTTAGCTTTCGCGTGATGCTGCTGTCGGAGGGAGAGGGTAGGCCAGGTTGCTGGGTCGCAGGAACTCACTTTTCTTGATCCGCCTGTGGACTGGTTTCGTGTTGCTGGAGAACCCAGTTCAGGACATCAGGGCGGAACATCATCTTCCAATACCCCGGGATCTTCTTCCTCATCCAATCGTTCATCCAGGCAAGCAAGACGATCGTGCCATGCTGCTCACGCACCATGAATTCCTCGGTCATCAAGATGACGCAGCCGTGGGGAAATATGCGTTGAAAGTGAGAAGGATGGTCGGCGAATTGCAGCGGCTTGACCAACGAAACGCTCCAAAAACCGACGGAGGATTTTCCGAGGAGTTGTTTGAGGAATGGAAGTGTGTGGAAGGCCGCAAAGCTCTCGTGGAACTATTGAACAGTCAGCTCAGAAGCGAAGTTGAAGCGAACCAGGTCTAGAGGACACATACGAACACGACTCCGTTAGAGACTGTCCGCGCAAACTTCTCCCAGTCCCCCTCATACCGGCTGGAGTATATGACTGGGTTGTAATGTTTGAGGAACTCGGCCAACAGCTGAAACTCTTCGGCATGAATCGGATCTTCCGGGTACATAAGGTATAGTACCTTTGCTAATTGAGTTTTCGACCCTGCATTCACCTTGACCAAAGTCTCAAAATTCACTTCAAATTGTTTTTTGAAGACATTCTTCAGATTAAGCTCATCATCAGTGAGAGATTTCTTCTGTTCAAGAGCCGGTGGTGGCCCTTCATGATCGATATCCATTGCTTCAAATCCAGCGGGTTCTGGTAGAGAAGGGTCGGTATCGATGTCTTCGAGTAAATTCGGTAGGCTGGGCCCGTTCACAGTAGCCTCTGCTACGTGTTGGTCAGGGGACATGTGACGTTTTGAAGCGTTCTCTGTCACGGTTCGATCTTTCATGGATCTTGTCAACTCCCTTTTGGTCTCTTCACACCCCTCTGTGATTGACAAATGGTCGGATCTATTCAAATTCTCGGCCGA